GCATAAAATGGCCACTGTCTCGTTCCCAGTACCGAGTGGTTGATGCACTTCTGGTAAAGTCACCTTGGTCTCCCATTTGTTTTGGGTTTTATTTTACCATTTTGTCAAGGGTATTCTGATGCCATTTGTGTTTTACGTCTATACAAATAAATTTGGATATTAATAAGCAACAGTACGACATCATTCCAGGGAAAAAAATCAACGTACTGAACATCATACATGTACATGTATAAACAAGATTGTAGGGCTTACAAATAAGCACAAATTTTTCAACAAATGGCATAATGGTCACAACATGTACCATGTATAGTTGTTATGAAATACCTGTATCATGCCAACCAAAGACGGGGTGCTGCCTATGCATTTTTTCCTAGACTTCTCGTGCCAGGCACCACAGACTTTATCCGCCATGTTAACTGTTGTACATCAGTTACCGTAGGTCAGTGCAAGTGTCCTACTGGTAAACCCTCCCAAAGTTGATGATGTTCCCTGGGTAGAATGCAGGGCTATCCAACCCATGGACAGTCCCAAGGTCTGATTCAACTCTTTAGCAGCGAAAGAGTGGAAGTAGGAGGGTTCTTTAGATTCAAGGCAAATATCCCTAAACAAGCTGAGATGCTTAGGGGGCAATGCCAGCTTTGTTCAGTGTTGTAGTACTCGTACTCGGTACTCGTAGCTGAGTACTGTTTTCTGAGTATTCATACTATACTTGTACTCGAATTTGCGATTAACAGTACTCTATTATGAAATCCTTTAACTTACCACGGCCATAAAATACAAGGATACAAAAAAATTGACCCTCCGAATTGGTCCAACAAGCAGAGGGCATTATACTAGCATGTGGAAGCATTTACTTATAATGGCACAACATCTTTGGGCTTACTAGCCAATCATGTACGTGAAATGCTGGCTTATTGGTTATTACTAGTCTTGATTTCAAGACCTTCCTGTTTATTCCATGACACGAACCATCATCAGACAAACTGCTAACCATGCGAAGCGACTGGTACATGTACATCTGAAAAGAGGGTGGTCACAGTGAATCGCATTATATATACCACTCACTGCATTGACAGGTAAAAGCACCCCAAAAGGCATCTTGGAACCCAAGACTAGGGTAATCCTAAGAATGGTTTCTTCATTATTAAACTTGGGTGTTGCTAGTCTGGTGCCTATACCTGAAAATTCTGATGACACATATAGCCCATAGAAACACAAGAGCATCAGAATAAGAGTCTGGAAAGAAGACTTCAGCGTACATGTGCTTGCAGTACGAATACCTGTCGTAACTGATGGTGAGTGTAAGTCATGTATGAGTGTGCATTTCAAGTACTGTTCATGTACATGGCCATTTGTAAGCACACATTGCCCACTGCTCCTTCCCTAATGTTGACTATCAGCTTTTGAAAAATCTATGAAGTTGAAACAGCTGGTGAAATACCTGTAAACGTATGGAATTAAACGGCAAAGCGCAGCTGTTTTGTTGGCGAACTAGAAATACTTGGACATCTAAGTACTCGGCAGTACTCTGTACTCAGAAAAAAGTACTTGACTACAAAACTGACTTTGTCATACCTTGATATGCCGGTATTTGTCTGGAAAAGATTTTCCGCAAATGCTATCTTGCTGGAGGACAGCATATAGAACTCGGTGTTGGTGTATGTCTTGGAGAAGTTCTTGGCAATGGCATAGTGCTTGTCCTTTCGTTTGTCCACCCGTGTGTTGAAGAGCCAGGGTATGATCAGCCGCTGGGTCCGCGTGCTACGGTTGACGAAGATCTGGTGCTGGTCAGCCTGGCTCTGGTTCAGCTTCAGCAGATTGACGTGGCCCATGACTCGGGCTGTGGTCCTGGTGCCCACGTCCGCCTGGTAACCAGTGATAGGGGCGCTGTTCATGCGGATGACGCAGGGGTAACTGTCAATCTCAGCCCCGGCTGATTTGTTCAGGAGTTGGCCGGAGCTGGAGACGACAGCACATGATTTGCAATGCAGGTGCAGTTTCTGAAAACAGCACACAAAAAATAACGTCAATTACACTGCTTCATAACCCAGTTGTGGTCCTCAAACTGTTACAAATATGTGGAATGGCTATTCTTATCAACAAGGTTTTTGCATCCTATTAAAATTACACAGAACCATTCAATCTTGGAAGTAAAGTTTTCAGTGGAATTTTCTATATATATGCAGTATCTGATCCGCCATGAGAGTGGCCAATTTTGTCTCATCCTATCTGCTCATCAACAACCACTGGAGCACTCCATTTACTGGTAGCCTGGTTTTTATTTCAATATTTCCCCCCAAAACCTGCTCAAAGCCTTCCTTTCTTTTTGTCTTATGAGCCAGTAATCTGTTTAGATAGTTATGGGTACCAGTCAGATAACCTGGAACATGTTCCTGATATAGCACTGGTTGGGTACCCGATTCAGAGGGAGAGCTCTAGCAACCGCACATGTAAAGTCACAGAGTGAACAATTATGGAAAGAAATAGAATCTTCATGTACATGTACATGCATGTCCACTCTCGTTATGACAAACACTGTAATAACAAAATACTTCAAAAATCAAGAATGCCCATTTCTTGACTTCCTCTGTTTTCCTTTGCTTTTCCACTCCTCTTCTAACAGAGCCATGCTTAATCAGAATAATTTGTATGGTCTCTGCAACTTTGGTATATGAGAGTCAACTGTACAGCTTTGTTCATTTGTCAGTTTGCTCTCTTTCCTCTGTTATACAACACATAAAAACAAACAAACAAACAAACAAACAAACACCCCAACAAACAAACAAACAAACAAACAAACAAACAAACAAACAAACAAACAAACAAACAAACACCCCAACAAATAACCCAACAAACAAACAAACAAACAAACAAACACCCCAACAAACACCCCAACAAACAAACAAACACACCAACACCCAAACAAACAAACAAACAAACACCCCAACACCCCAACAAACAAACAAACAAACAAACAAGCAACCCAACACCTCAACAAACAAACAAACAAACAAAAAAACAAACAAACAACCAAACAGATGAACAAACCTGTACAGTTTCTAATTTGCAAAAGAGAGATTACAATGTACAAGTACAATGCACCTTATAATGACTAACCTACTGTACATGTACCGGGTACCTACACAATTCACATTTTGACATTTATATTTAATTCAATGACTCTGTCATAGACTTAAATGTATTCTTAACGACAAATATTAAGAAAAACTAAAATTCCAAATAAACGTATTAGTCTCTTACTGTTCTAGTCTCCAACAGATAGTATCCATCAACTTCAGGCACTGGTGTGATAGGATGGTTTGGCGTTGATTGCCTGAACCTATCTGCCACGGATCTTATTACACTGTGTGTAACATCCTCCTCACCCTGGGGACGTCTCTTTCCTACAACAGAGCCACTGAAGACATTCTTTAACTGATGGAGGTGATTCTGCCTTGAGTTCTGTTCTTGCACTCTGGCCCTATGACTAAGGTTTGATGGGACTACATACCGAGATGAGTCAAGCGGGCGAATACTGGTGTGGTTTGATGCGTACTGTGTTTCATTAAATTTTGTTAACTTGACATGTCCTGCTGACTTATCCCCTGCCAGGAGCGATATNTTTTATGAGCCAGTAATCTGTTTAGATAGTTATGGGTATCAGTCACATAACCTGGAACATGTTCCTGATATATCACTGGTTGGGTACCCGATTAAGAGGGAGAGCTCTAGCAACCGCACATGTAAAGTCACAGAGTGGACAATTCTGGAAAGAAATAGAATCTTCATGTACACGTACATGCATGTCCACTCTCGTTATGACAAACACTGTAATAACAAAATACTTCAAAAATCAAGAATGCCCATTTCTTGACTTCCTCTGTTTTCCTTTGCTTTTCCACTCCTCTTCCAACAGAGCCATGCTTAATCTGCAACTTTAGTATATGAGGTTCAACTGTACAGGTTTGTTCATTTGTCAGTTTGCTGTCTTTCCTCTGTTATACAACACATCAAAACAAACAAACAAACAAACAAACAAACAAACAAACAAACACCCCAACAAACAAACAAACAAACAAACAAACAACCCAACACCCCACCCAACAAACAAACAAACAAACAACCCCAACGCACCAATAAACAAACTAACAAACAACAGACACCCCAATGCACCAATAAACAAACTAACAAACAAACAGATCAACAAACAAACAAACAACCAAACAGATGAACAAACCTGTACAGTTTCTAATTTGCAAAAGAGAGATTACAATGTACAAGTATAATGCATCTTATAATGACTAACCTACTGTACATGTACCGGGTACCTACACAATTCACATTTTGACATTTATATTTAATTCAATGACTCTGTCATACAATTAAATGTATTCTTAACGAGAAATATTAAGACAAACTAAAATTCCAAATAAACGTATTAGTCTCTTACTGTTCTAGTCTCCAACAGATAGTATCCATCAACTTCAGGCACTGGTGTGGTAGGATGGTTTGGCGTTGATTGCCTGAACCTATCTGCCACGGATCTTATTACACCGTGTGTAACATCCTCCTCACCCTGGGGACGTCTCTTTCCTACAACAGAGCCACTGAAGACATTCTTTAACTGATGGAGGTGATTCTGCCTTGAGTTCTGTCCTTGCACTCTGGCCCTTTGACTAAGGTTTGATGGGACTACATACCGAGATGAGTCAAGCGGGCGAATACTGGTGTGGTTTGATGCGTACTGTGTTTCATTAAATTTTGTTAACTTGACATGTCCTGCTGACTTATCCCCGGCCAGGAGCGATAC